TTGTCTTTATTAAGTGAATAGATCATTGAGCACGAGGTTGACAAAGCTTCTTCCTTGTAATGCTGAAATTAATACACATAGTATTACTATTCAGAAAAAGGAAAACTCCTTCAACAAAGCCGTGAGCACAACAACTACAACAATTTACAGTAGTTTTTATGGTCAATCATTATTATCATTATGAATTTGTATGATATACTACATAATGTGTTCATAAAAAATATATCAATCTTATTCAATGACATCAAAATGTCGCTACATTGCAAGAGCTAATATAATAAGAGAATGTATTCTCTCACTTGCAAATCTTACTTCCCCACAAAATCAGGAATAAACTTTAGCTCTTAACCGACATTTTAAGTACACATATTTACCTTCTCAAGACACTGTGCCAGATGTTTATCCATTTCACTTTGTAAAGTTGAGGCTGGACAAAGAGGACAACTGAAGTAGACTCCTTCATGAGCTTGCACAGTTGAACAATCAACTTCAGTTGGCTGTAGGTAGAAATCAAGTTCAGGGTCGATGACTTTGGTAAGTGATTCCTAACTGACTCCTCAGATGAGGACCCACTAACTAGCTACACCAAATCTTGACATAGCATTTTATTTCACATAAAAAGCTGGGGCCCAAAAGCTACTAATAATGTGAGGTAGTAATAAATACATGCAGGGCTGCATATAACAGCCATCCTTCGCTCATTGTCTAAAACATGCCCTATGTCCAACAAAATCCTTCTAGTAGTTGGATATGATGACTGGGCTACTAAAATTCTGTTCACAGGTTATCATTTTGAAGCTAAGGATTTAAATGGTACTTAAAGAAATAATATTATTGAAAGTCAATATGCCTGAGAACTTTTCTGGTTTGTCTGACTGAAATGGTGATCTTGTAAGGTTAGACGTTCATCTTCAGCCCTGCCTCAGAGCCAGAAAATTAATAATCCACATCCAGGGAAATTACATGTAATCATAACAATGTCTCACCTCAGCTGTAGACTGAGGTACATTAACTGGTTTTCTTGCTTGGGTAGCTCCATCGATTAACATCTCGTGTCTCACTAAAATTTGCATGAAACATTTGTCACAGCATAACCCTGGCCTTGGTTGTTCAAACCTTGGATAGCGCTATCCACCAGATAAATCACTACCAGGCAGATAAGTATTAGCTCAGGTGATAGCATGATTTGTAGTGATATTTGGCATGAATACCACGAGTGATATTTCGAATTTGTTATATGTAATTTCACGAGCCGTTAGGCGAGTGAAATTTGTGACAATTTTGAAATATCACAAGTGGTATTTATGCCAAATATCACGTACAAATCATGCTATTATTTGTTTATACTACTACCCGCAAAAGGTTTGTAATTTTCACATGTAGGTATTTCAAATTAAGCTGAAATACCACTGCTCTAAGCCAATCAAATTACAGAAATTTCTCATGTAGTAGTACAAAAAAGGAAACCAATATTATGTTATCCACTGGATAGAGATTTATCCGGTGGATAGCATTAACTACCTTACGAACAACTTGGCCCTGAGTATCTAAACTGTGCAGTCTGCCAGTGGAGAGAGACACAAAATAGTTTATGAATTACCATTGAATATAACTTCATGTCCTGACAATATTAAAAGTATTGATCTCTAAATGATAGACAGAAACTACCCACCCAACCAAATGGCAGCTAAAGAAGACTAGTTACTTTTTACAAGGGAAAAACAAAGCAAAACAATAACTTAACAACAACTACTACAACAAACATGTAAAACAAACATAACACCATTTTATAAACAATATCCTAATTTACAATAAACACATTAATTTTTCTAAATTAATAATATAATTAAATATATATATTAATCACATTACAATATTGTATAATTCAAGGATTGATCAAACAGCATTTCTTTCAGTAAATCACCTTCTCTCTTTAACTTAGCAAGGTCCAGAGCATCACCAGAGCTTGATCCTTGTGATGCTGCTGTTGCTGACTCTCTGCTTTTCCATGTTGCTGTTGTGGACTTTGGACGTCTCACTGCATTTTTTTCATAAGTAGAAAATCTCTCTAAGGCAGCCTATTAGTGAAAATAATAATAACTATTATAACTTTGAAGCTCCTTAATGTACATAACAAACTGTGACATTATAGAGATATCTATAAAAGAAGAGAAAGAAACTTATGTTACAAGGCAAAATTATCTTCAGGCTAAAATTTTTTCACCCAGATTGATTCTCTGTTTTCTTTGTCGCCTAGGCCTAATTATTCATGAATCAGCCTGAAGGGCTAAGAGACAAAGTAAATTGACCTGGGTTAAAACATTTTAACCTGAATATAATTTTGACCTGTAACACACACAGAAAAGGTCAACAGCTGCCTCTACACCTCATACATTATAATAATCCACCCCTTACACCCATATGGGAACACACTGTTTGTAATACTGTCACATGTTTTGCTCATGACTCATGCATCTACTGATTGAGCAGTCTGAAGATGATTTGAAAGACTATCTCGTTTGTTACTTTAAATCTGTAATCAAAACCTTCCTTAAGTCAAGAGAGCAATACCATCTCTCAACTCTGCTATAATAAAATTCCAGAAGAAAGCTATTTCTGAACAAATAAACAGAAACTTTTCCTTACATATATTCCAGTAAAATCATGGGTTTTTGGACTAGCACAGTACACTGATCTTAAACTGCAACTCACAATTTTTCATGACGTGAGGCTCAGGATTCATTAGAGCATATTTGATCAAAAGCATTCAATGTCCATACTCACCTGGCCCGCTCTTTGTGCATCTGAGCTTGGTACAGTTCTGGAGGCTGGTGTTTGTGAAGTAGAAGCCTGTTGTGTTGATGATGAGGACGATGATGATCCACCTTCCAAGGTATGTCCCTCACCAGCCTTTTTGAACTTATACTCAAGTTTGGCTTTTTCAAAAAATTTCTTCATTTCTACCCCTTAACAAGGCTATAGCTCAATTATCTGTTTACGTCAGATGGAAGCAAAAGCGTTTGGCTTAAAACAAGAGAAAGATAAAAAAAAATATGTGAGATATTCTCTGACTGAATTGTGTGATGACCAGATGTTTGCAAAATGTCATCAGCTTGGGAGTAAATGTGTTAAAAAAGTTTTGAGTTTTGTCAAATCATTAAGTGGGCTCAATTTCCGTTATTCTCTCTAGGGGTTTTGCTAAAAGTGGGCCCATGGCCCAGCGGCCTGGTCATGATTTTCGACAGATTTTTGTTTTTTTAATAGGGCTCAAAACAAACTTGAATTCCAGCTTGTCCTTTGAGTAGGCAGCTCTCACATTTTGCTTGCCTGGAACCACTTCTTGCTTGTCTTAGTTAATGATTTAGTTAGAGAATAACTTGCCTGAACCCTGGCCATAGGGCAAGTAAGCTTCAGAAGTTACTGTAAAATTCCGAAAATTTTAAAACAAAATAAAATATAAAGTAATGATTGGGAGAAATCAAAATAAGTAAAAATCAATATCATTAAAATAGTTCAGCTTAGATTGGCATACCGGCTGTAAATATTTTTCACAATTTTACCACTTTCACTATGAGTAGAATTTAGCAAACTGAACGTTAATATGCATGGCTTTATAGCTCTAGCTTACTTAGTTTATTAACGCTTTACGCCTGCCACACTAATTCCATATTCACAGGACATAACATGTCGATCAAAATCGATCATCGGAAAGCTAGTCGATAAGTCGATAGTGCTCGATAATTGTCGATAATTGTCGATTGATTAGTTTAATTTGTCGATAAAAGTCGATTATCACAAAGTTCTCAGGGCTGGCTATCGATTTGTATTGACTTTTATCGATTTCTATCTACATCAACATGTCAAGCTCTCATTACAGTGCAAAATAAAACATTGAAACATAGCTCTACATATGATTGTTTTTTATCTTTCGATACTTTTCGAAAAAAGTCGATTGAAATCGAACTCTAACACCAAAAGTCGATCAAAATCGATAATCACAAGAAATTTTGTGATCGAGTTTTATCGATTTCCGATATTTGTCGATTAATTAGTATCGACTTTTATCGACAACGATCGATTTTTATCGACTATCGGAATTATCGACATGCTACGTCCTGAATATTCAGTTGTAAAGCTTATTGTAAAATTTATCAGAGTGATTTTGGCTTTCGCATCTTTAAATTAAGCAATCGTTCACTACCATGACGTTTTTAAGTTATAACTTAGTATAACACTTACAAAACAACGGGCACCTTTTCCATTTTCACAAGAATCCCTCAACCTTCATTTTCACGAGTTTCCGGCTGCTCGAGTTTCTTGGAAGTTTGAGCGGATGCAAGCCAGCGGTCATTAGAGAGAGGCATGAGCAAATGAGCATCTATACTCCAGTCCTCCTCGACTTTAAGAAATCAAAATGGCGGCACAGACGGGTGGTTCGGAAAGTCTCTTAAATCAGGCGGACAGCATGTGGAAAATGCTCGATGATCTGGTAGAATCAGATCCCGAAGCATATAAGAGATTCATGGAGAAGACGTTGAAGGAAGGTTCTACTATGTTTAAGCCACCGGAACCTTGTTTTTGTGTTATAACTGTATTGGTAAGTGTCGTGTTCAGTGTACTTGAAATATAGGTAAGATTGAAATTGCATTAGGTAAGTTGATATCTTTTAACACAATCACGCCCTTGACAGCCCCAACAATGAAGTGGATATTGATACTGATACGTGTTAAAAATCTAGACCACTTTTTACAGTTAGGATGTAAAAATACTACAATATAGCTGATAGTCACAAGATTTTAAAGTAACCAATCAAATAGCAAAAAGGATGTAAATTTAGTT